GGGGGGTTTTTTTTTTTGGGGGGGGGGGGGGGGGAAAAAAAAATTTTTTTTTTTTTTAAAAAAAAAAAAAAAAAAAAAAAAAAAAAAAGAATTTTTCCCCCCGGGGGGGGCCCCCCCCCCCCCAAATTTTTTTCTTTTTTTTTTTTTCCCGGGGGAAATTTTTTGGGGGGCCCCCCCCGCCGCTCCCCAAAAAAAAAATTAGGTTGGAGCAGAGTTACTCTGTAACGTCAAGAGCGGCATCTAATCAGCACTTTGTTTGAAAGTGTCAACTCATGCCAATTATTATTAATTTTCTATAACAATAAGTAGGGTACGATTGGCGAATTGCGGACGGTTAAGCGGAAAAACTCAGACTATAAAAAATTGTAGTTTGTCTTTATAAATTATGAAACTATAGTTTCAAAAAATCAGTTTTTTCTGTATGGGGGTTTCATATTTCACGGATCACTGTACTGTACATAAAAAAATATAAAGTTTTACCGACGCTATGCACACTTTAGCATATATGTGTATGTCAAATTCAAAATAAAAGTATATTTAATTTTAAAAAATATAAGCATAAGCTAGTAAATACCTTGGAAAATCGTTCATCGCTCTATAGTCTATATTCCTGACGTAATCAAGCTAATTGTAGCTAATTGTTAATTCATCCTCAATAGGTAATATGCACCGCCCGAACACAAACGTAAATTAATTGACGAGGTCAAAGTAGACAGGAATTAATAAGCTAGATCTAGGTTCATACTGATGTTTCGATCCTACATTTATGCATAAAATTACATAATAGATTTTTCGGTAGATCCAACGAAATAAGAAGGTCCTACCATTTCACGATTTTACTTCATGGGTATTGACTATTATGAGACAAATGACAATGATTCGACTGATTATAATATCATGACTATAATTCGAGTAATATGTGAAATATACATAGTATGGAAATGGCCCAGTGGGAAGAAAAAACATAGGATGCCCACCAAAAACTCGGAAAGATGAAATAAAGGGATAGCGGGGAAAAATTTCTAAAATTGTCGCAAGGAATAGGGATAAGTGGAAGAACTTGGAGGAGGCCTTCACTCCGTCGGAGGGGTAGTACTAGTGTAAAACATAAATAACGTGGACTTAGTGTAGTTACATTGTACTCGAATAAAGGATATTTTTATTTTATTTATACATAGATACAGTGGATACAGTGTAAGGACTGCGTCTCTGGATCTTTGGAAGTAACACGAGCATAACACTTTGGCGACGAACCGCTAGTATGAATAACAGAAATTCAATAAGGAATAGCGCTAACTACGACTCCCTTATGTCAATATCCAATATATTTTTGAGACAGATCTATGTTAGTTGAATTTGATGATACGTCAACAAGAAAAATCTCTTGATGAATAAGTCAGTCGCCCTTACTAAAATTGTGATGGTAGCTTTAACGAAACAGACCTTCGTTAGTAATTTGTACAATAAAAGCAACAGATTAACTAACGTACATTTTTCATATAAAAGTTTCGTCATGATTTATTGTATTAGGTAAAACTTACCTGTGTAGTCTTGACATCTTTTCTAAACCAGTGACGCATCCATTTAAACATCGTTGTTTTAAATCTTTTAATTATTTTAGAAATCCATATTATGACACAGGAAGTGGATATCACTCCAAGCAGCCAACATAGACCCATGTTTTATAAATTCCATAGTCTCACAAATAAGTAGCCGATTCGTTGAACGCCCGAAAACAACTGAATTCGCTAAATGGTGAATTGACCCCCACATTAATCATTCATACTTAGCAATTGTTAACATACGTCTAATTAACATTTTGAGTTGCATACAATTAAGTTTATTTCTCGTTATATTTATTTGTTCAGGTAGCTAACAGCTTACATAAAAATACAATTTAAAATATATAATAAAGACAAAATGCCCCATGACTAGTGAAATATTATATTACCTATATATTTAATAATATTATAGTATAATATTTACATACAGTAGGTATAACAGAATATATTTTGACTATCTTTAATATTTTATAGAAATAATACTTCGTATTAAATGCTTTTGTATTAGCTGTACCTAGCAAATTTAAAAAACCCAAAATACGTTGAACAAGCCTATAAAAAACAAGCGTCATCGATATTTCCATCTACTAGGCTAGACTTTTGGTATTTTGGGTATAATTATCAATTATAGTAAATTCACTTTTGTAGAATTACTTTTACGAAAACGTTCGACTGTCATCTTATAAACTTAATTCCCTTTCTTAAGTAGTAATATTTCAATCTTGATAGATGGCAGTGTATAATGTACCTTAATTGTCTAGGATGTGTACTGATCGCTGAATAGCGCCACCTATTGACATAATTTTGTAAGCTATGAATGTGTTTGTGCGCCATCTTACGGAGTAACGTAAAACTAGAATTATAAATTATTATCGGTATAGCTATATTCGCTATGATAAATTAACGTGACACCAGGTGGCGCTAAATTATTATATATTTTATGTTAGATCCGTACTGTAACATTTATTATTGATTCAGATCCTAGGTTACATTTTACTTATTTAGCCAAGAGGCGATTCATTAAGAAATGAAATTATTAATCAGAGGTTTCAATAGGAAACTAAGTCAAACCATGTTTAACACTAAATGTTGTTTTATTTCAGAGCAAAAATTTTGTTTACTGATGAAGTTAAAATGCCTAAATTTAATGTTAAAAAGTTTGGATCCAAGTTATCTTGATGTTCCTCGTTAACAGAACTAAATAAATTCATTAATGCAAGGATTTATACATAAATCTCGAATCAAAGAGAGGATTAATAAGTTAATTAATAAAGAAAATAATTTTAGTTAGATACTTAGTATTAATGGGTCGGTGTTGAGAAATAAAATGTCCAAATCACATATTCAGTTGTTTATTATCTATACTGTACTCAAAATCGATCCGAAGATCACATCACATAGTAATTTCATAAATAATATTACAATGTCATGTACTTTCTGTGACTGCTCGTGAATAAAAAAAATTGTTCAGAATATTATATGAATACTTTGTTCATTGGATCGGTTTACTTTTAGTAGACTGTACTACTATAAAATAACATACCGTTATTTAGGTATTACGAACTTACATTTATGAGAGATATAATAATCAATTATTGTGTTGCTGATCTTTTTTTAATATATTTACAGTTTTACATTTTTTTTGTGATTTACAAATAAATTCTCGAATATTTATTTAGGTCTCCATTATTCCGTTTCGATTTACAATAACAGTACTTTATAGTTTAAAAATATCACAAAAATGAAATATATTATGTGTAAGACACACGCAACATTACAAATACAACAAAAAGAAAATAGAAAATACACTAAAAACCTAGGGCCAGATTCCCTTCTAAACAGGAAGGATACTTTCGATGTTCTATCTTTGTAACGGCAATTTTATACCATTACGTTATTATCACACTAATTAATTATAAAATTAATCAATTGTCTTACAATAAATGCGTCAGATCATAAAATTTTGTATACAAATCATAGGCAACAAATGAGAAACGATAAATTTCAACAAAAAATAAAACTTAAGTGTTTAGAGTAATACTGCCGTATTGATAAAAGCGAAACTTGGCAGCTCCCGGCGAACGGTCTCCGAGATGGTGACCGACGCCAACCAGCCCCGAACCGATAACAACAATCAACATCAATCAATACAAACAAACGCAACGCTTCACTGCAAACGTCTCCAACGAGTTTAACTCCAATTTCCGCTATTCACCTTTTATCGATATGGCATTCCACTTACGATATACGACAATAAATATAACGCACTTACACATTAATCACTTCTTTAATTCCGACGCTAGGAATTATTTTATAATATATACCTAAAAATATAATCACGGCACAAGTATCCCTCCGACTAAATTACTAACGTAGTGTCACTTTATCAGGATTTAGAATCAAATATGTATTATGTATCTTAAATATTTCATTATTAATATATCATTATCAAAATATCCACTAAATGGGAGGAATAAATCAAATTATTAATATTTTACTCTAACATACGCATGACTGATCAACAAAAGGATATGGACTAGGAATAATATTAGGCAATGGTTGCCTCGGGACGGGCGTGCAGTCGCGAAACACACGCCGCCGTCCGCCTCTCTCTATCCGCTTACATCAGCTTATCCGCATATCGCCTCTACATGCAAACCGCGAGATTTCAACAAAACTTAATACTGTCAAACAATAGACGGCTATTTGATCGCCAGGATTAAAAGGTTACTCGGACGCGATCGTCGGCCACTATTTGTGCATCCGCAGACGGAAATCGATCGGTATATGATTATCTAGCAAATCTATCTGGAATAAAAGCCGTTCTATCCTAGAATGTAGGTAAATAGCTTGGAAGTAAGCCTTCGTTTTTCAATATTGTCCGACAACGTTCATTGTTCAATTCGAATTAGTTGCTATCACTCTAGGAGTGCTGCGACCTATGCTACGTGAGAAGGGCCGCGCTCGACCGACGCGATTGTGCTCCGGCGTCAAAAGTTTCCGTGTCGAAGGAGAGAAGCGGCTACTCTATTGGTGTTCGTATCGATTCACTTAATCTAAACTAGTGTAAATCTCGTCATCTATAAAACATAATTTCATAAATCATAACATACGTAAAAATAACATAACTCTCACAAAAAATGCTCACAATAGGAGTGGGTGCAACTTTTGACACCGGCCTCGGCCGGAGCCGGGAAGCTGCTGCCGCGGGAAGGCGGCACAAGACGACTCTCGCCCCGCGCCGTCCCCCGCCCGAATCGTTCGCTTATATACACGAATCGGTGCGGCGGCGCACCGATTACAGGAACTCATATCGTATCTTAAAAAAATAATATATAATAGTAATAAGACATTTGAAACCTCACTAACTACTATTCGACGACGTCGGGACGATCTCGACAAATTTTATTCATACGGCTCCTGCGTTTTGAAAACTATTCATATCACAATCGCACGACCGTGCCTGAGAAAAATCCCGCTACTCGCGTACACACCGTATCCCGTGGGCGCTCGAGTACGGTGGGAGCCGTGGCTACGAGCAGACTGACCGCTAACACGGCGCCTCCTGGGAATGCGGGGGCGAGTCGGAATCGGGGGTGATGGAATGGGGGTGAGGAGAAGGGTGTCGGGGCGTAGGTGGGGTGGGAGGTTACGGGGGCCTGAGGGCCGGAGGCAGCTGCACGGGAATGTGGTAGTAGCGGCAGGCGGCCCTTCGGCACGTGCCCGCCGCTGCGTCCCGACAGACCACCACGCGGCATCCCACCACCTGCAGCCCGCACCCTGCGCATATACATCGCGTGTTAGACATTCTAGTAGTATAGAAACAATCACTAGACAATACTTTTCCATTTGATTCAATCGTTAGGACTTCAAAGCTAATCTCATCAGTATAAATAATTTTTAAATGAGTCATGCAATTAAATATGTTAACATTTTTCTAAAAAGTACTAGATTTCTATTCTAAGTCAAACATTCTATTAAAAATCGGAACGCCATAATTGTATATTAGCGTTTAGGTATTGCAGTTTAAGTAAAGATTTAGTTCACCAGCAAACTTAAGGTCTCCTGTTAAAAAAAAATAAAAAGTTAGTAAATTCTCATTACAAACAGGAAAACAGGCTTAATTCCATTGGAAACCGTATGTTCACTTAATAGAACAGCTATCTTCATTAGTATGCTCATACTCTACTTAATATTTCTAATCGCCTACAGAACATGCAGGTTATATAACTTGTGTCAAATGAACTTAAAAATGCAATACCTAACTACACCCATTATTAGTCTACAGATTAAAATACTAAGATTCAAAATACAGACACAAATCTTCTGAAAACACGTAATAGAATTATTTACAAAATCATGCAGTGTTAATGGTACTGGGACTGGGTCATCTATGAATACACGTTTGTCATATTTCAATGGTTCAAAAGTAGGTCAAAACATTACTCAATACTGAATTAAATCTAGGGGACCGTACATCTATTGACCTTGTTTCTATAATGGAAGATTTCTAATAGTACTATCTTGGGAAATGTGATAACTTTTAAACAAATCAGCATTGGATATATCACATGAACTAAATATAGTATATTTTAACGTAGATTAGCACAATCATAAATGGTTACCTTCACGTATATGAACAAATCTGCAGGTAGGTCGGTTGCATCCTTGTCGATTAAAATCTTGGCACACCGGGAGGGTGTCCAGTAACTGAAAACATAACAATAATTTATAAGTATTTAATAAAAATAAATTAACATTCGGACAGATAACGCCACGATCAAATATTTTTAGCATAGCATATTATTTCAATATATGCATATATCCAAATTTATGTTTTAAAATTAAGTTCAGTTTTGTATATTAAAATTATTTCGAACAAATAGTAAAATTAGCTGTATGCATTTTATCGTTGTAAAAATTCATATTGTGGCAATCTTGTGCGAATGTTATCAAATGAATAAATAATTTCATAAACTGTCACACGCCATATCTCTATTACCGAACATGTGTTATAGATTCCAACAATGGATTCTGTCCAGAACTCAGAAACGTAAAAAACAAGGTGCGACGGTTTACGAACCTTCATATTGTTAGTGTTATCGTAATTGTAATGGTAGCATTACTTAGGACATTCATACATCGGACACTGACATATCTTCATTGCACTGCCGTCTGGAAATAAACGCTCAATAGTTTTTGTAATATCAAAGAGCAGATGTCACCGCCTCACTCACGAAAGTTTATTATTCGTTAATCCTTAAAATAACGTATTTATTAACTAATGCGTGTGTAGTTTCTCAGCTGCTAATCAACTATCAAACGGGAAAGAAGAAACACGGAAGGCGAAAATTGCTCAAATCAAATACCATTGCTGCTTCAATATTACAATAACTTTACAAGATTCGTTGCACAATATGATTGTCCTTCCAAGCATTCTTTCGTTTGGCGCGCTGACAGTTGTCACTTTTATATTGTAAAATCTGTCAAAATGTTCACAAAATACAAAACACGACCTCCGCGAATCTGTTATTGGCGCGTGAGTTCCGCAACCGCCAGAGTTGTGTTAAGAATGCTGCACTATGCACATAGGAATGAATATATAATATCTAAATGGCATGCAGAACGCTTGAAATATAATCATTATTGCGCAGCCAATCTTTTTAAGCGTGACTATAATTTACAAAAAAGCTTAAGCATGATGCTAGACAAGTTTTACCAGGGCGAGGGCGACTAAGGTCTGTAGCGTCCAAGTGTACCCATTAACCGACTGTTGCTAAAGCTAAGAAGGCGGTGTAGGGATTCGACGTGTTTCTGCGTCGGCTGTGATGGCTAGGGCTGAAGGTCTCCAGATGTTGCAGCGGGGTCATGCGACGTACGGCAAAGGCACGGTTAAATGTAAATAGACAAATTAAACTTATACCTTTAGCTTACATGACAGTTCTGGACGTGACATGTTAGTGGTAGGACAAACTGCAACATAATGACCATTAGAGTGCGGTTACTGTACGACAAACAAAAGAAAACCAAGTAGATTAATTACGTCTACGTGAGTCGTTCGAATAAGCATCGGAGAGGCTCCGACGAGATGTAAGCGAGGAGCTGAAGCCGCCTTGGAGAAGCACTTTAAGCATTGTTCGAGAAAAGTCGAAGTGGATAATTAGCCGACGCACAAAAGGAAATTCAGTAATGAGATCTCGGCGGTTGCAATATTTCGGCGGATCGTTACATAATTGGCTACGCCACTTCGAGTTTTCTCTTCCCGCCACTGTCATTTCAACTACCAACTATGCAAAAAAGAATTTATTAAAAAGCATTAAAGTTTGTCAATACTATGTCGATTAAACCCCCTTAAAAGCGGTCGATAGTTGATACTGGCAATGGACTGGAAATATTTGGCTAATGAGTCGAGTTATTTTTTTTAAAATTACATTTTGATCATCAGATCAGACAGCTCTTGATTCGGATTCATGATAGTATAGCAAGTCGACTCAATAACTGAATACCCATACAGGCTTCATTAACTTTGACAATAAATTCTTCAATGAAATATCAACGACCATTATAAAATGACCATGACGATGCATGCTTAACTGAGAGGTATATGACGATATTTCAGTAAAGATTTTTAGTGGGATATCACTTAAAACAGAGGATATTAAAGTAAGCTGAATTTATCTTACCGGGTGTAAGCAAGGCAAGTATTGTAGAGTCACTTCTTCCACATTTCAAAGCGAAAATGTTCACTATACAAAACTCAATTCAACATGTCGTAGCGTCAACCGTCAACAATTCTTACACAGCACAATGACTACGGTGGTTGCGATGATTGTGATAGAATGATAAGTCTGACAAGCAAAACTATCAAGTTTATAAAAATAGAAAATAGAGTTTTCCTTAATTCTTTTTATAAGCACGTGCTTAATCAAGTTTATATTTATAATCAAGTTTAACACCGTGTCTCGTAAAAGTTATATTCTTTCTGTTTTTTAGTAAAACACAATGTCATTCCTCATTTGTCGATAATCATATCACGCACTTATATACCGACATTATCTACTGAAGTAGAAAGCTAGACTAATCAGTTCTACGGAAGCGTGTGAAAAAAGCAAGCTCCAAATATAGTCAGACTAGAAAATGTTATTGGTTGTTCTAAGAGCTTCGTCTTTACTGTTGTGATTGGCTAGTTTTAGTAAGCTTTTTTGAGGCGAATAGTAGAGGCGATATGTTTAGTTGATATAGCGCAGCGTTAGAGCATAATCGAGCCCGTGATCTTCGAGTCCAGGTGATGTGTTTAGGGTTTCGGCTCACAAGGCGTCATGGTTGCGGGATTACGGAGGACCACTTCGCATAATAACAATTCGACTAGTCTCTTAAAAGAGAAGCTTTGTTGTAGTGTAACGTTTTATCAATACTTTAAATTTTTTGCACTTTGTTACCTAAACTTCGAGTTGTTATTTTGTGGTGGCTCTTGGATATATTTCGCAAGTGGAATGTGCTGAGTGATGCGCAAGAAGCTCGGCGAGTGCGAGGAGATAACAAGCGAAAGTCGGTGGTTCGCGCGGGATGCGATTTGCAGTGGTTCTGATTTGCCGTGTGGCGGTTTGCACGGGTTAGCGGTTGGCGCGGATTAGCGATACTGGGGCCACTCGCTGGTTACGTGAGTCACGCGGCACTCCGTTACCTGTCCCCGTTCGTCCGTATACTCCACGTAGGGAGCGTTGGGCGGCGCACAGCCTGGCCGTTTCCAACACAATAAAGCAAAAGATTTGTAATGCGGAGGACAGCCGAAGCGGTCATTCGGAAGGCATGTAACAGAAAGCGTTAAAAATAAATAGAAATATGTGCGACTTAAAATAAGGCAAAACTAAACGACGGACACGCCGGCACACTGAGCACACACGAGGAGCACTAGATTATGAGGAGTACCTGATGAGCCAAACGTACAAAGGTGTCGGGTTCTATCCATGCTACAATTAGAAGGCGGCCGTGTTAGGTGCGGGCCCGGCGGGCCTGTGACGTGACGCCAAAGCGCACCCGTGCGGAATCCTCCGGGACAAAGCGTGTACGTAGCGGGAAAACGGGATCGACGGACCAAGCGCTCAACTCTGAGTACGGCGATACTCACGATACGGTCGACAAAAAGGTAATAAAAAACGTACGGTCATGCATGTCAAGCCTTATTATTACCGGGATCGATACGAGAAATATACACGCATAAGATAATAACGGTAAGTGAGTAGAATACATAATAGGTAGAGTACATTAGCATAAACTACAATTATCCGCGAGACGGAGGCAGGTCGCCTGTCGCAGTTATACAATACAAATGTGACAACACTAGCGCTACGCCCCGACAGGCCGGGGCCACACTTCACACGTAGAGTCTCTACGCGGAGACCCCGCGCGTCGGGCCCCGCCGGCCGCTTATGTCGTCTTCATCTTTTTGTAAGGGTTCACAGCGGCAGCCGCCGCCGCCGCCGCCGCGGCCGCCGTCTGAGTCGTTGGAGCCGGCGGGGGCATCGCATACATGTATGGCTGCTGGTAGAACTGCATGGGCATCTGTGGCGCCGGCCAGCCGGGCCGCATCATCAGCGGGGCGCGCATCAATCCGGGCATGGCTGCTCGAGCCTTGTACGCTTGCTGTGTGTACGCAGCAGCTGCCGCGTGGGCCATCGCCGAGTGCTGCGCGGCTAAGGCTAAGGCAGCGGCATAGTTCTTCTGTGCTACTTCTTTAGCGACGGCCGCGGGGTCCGGCGTGGCTGAGTCGGTAAGCGAGCCGGGCGGAGAAGGCGCAGGTTGCGGCGGCATGGCAGGTTGGGGCGGCGGGGCGGGCTGCGGGGGCTGTGGCGCGGGTTGCGGCGTGGCCTGCGCGGGAACGGGCGGCGCTGAAGCCGCAGCCGGCGGGGCGGAAGTCGCGGGCGCGGGGTACTCACATGACACGGGCACGAACGGCTGTTGCAGCTGCATCAGTTGCTGATAGGTCGTCGGCGGCTGGTACACCGGCACGCCTGCTTTGTCTGCGGCTGGCCGCTTGTACGATACCACGCCGGGGAAGGCCTGAAATTTATAAATAGTTCTTTGAATCAAAAAATAGGGAATAAAGGATGCCGTTAAATAATTATACAAGATACATCTACAAGTATTTTAAACGTCTGAACTGTTGTATTAGGTAATTTTTAGCATTCATGTATATTCTTTGTAGATATTTATAGATTGTATAGGTACTCGTATATGACATGTATTAATTATTATTGGTAAATATTGACATTGGTTCATAATACCTCATGTTTTATTGTGTATGTGATGTACGGCATTGACTAATTTAGATTGATATACCGAAGGTAACAACTACAGAAGATTGCTGTGTGAAGTGTGAATCTAAATAACTACAATAAGAAATAAAAATCTTTCGTGATACTTACAAAGTTGTCATAGTAGAAGGATCCGACGCTCTTCATATCCATCTGAAACGAGAAACAAGACGGTTGAGCGGAGTTCGACGGACTCGGGGGTTATTGGCGCGCGCGTGGCGGGGGCGGGCGGGGGCTGTCCAGCCCGCGCCGCGCGCGCCGCCGGAGGACGCGGGTTGCGGGAGCAGGGAGCGGGGAGCTGGTGGGGCAGGAAAAGGGACAACAAGCGTGCAAAGCTGGCGTAGTACCGGGGGCGGCTCGAGCTCGGCGGGCGCCGGCCGCTTCTTTCCCGCCTCCGAAGTTGCGCTCCCTGCCGCTTGCTGCGCTCCGCCAGCCGTCTACGTGAAGCGAAGCGGCGCAGGACGGGACGGAAACAATAACGATGTAATAGATGCACAGAATACACCTAAAGCTCGGCGAAAGGTGACATTATGCGAAAGATAAAAAAAATTAAAGTGAAGCGTGAGTGCGACGGAAGCGTGGAGCGGAACGATACCGCGGCGAAATTAAATGAACAAAGCTCTGCGAACAAAAGCGGCGTCGCGACGAGACCAAGCCACAGTAAACTAATTCGATACCACCATTAATTTGATACGATTTGGTTCTCCACGCAGAGCCCCGGTCACCACAGGTCCTAGGACTGCGAACGTGAAAAAGCTTAGTTCCATGCTCGCGGCCGTGGAGGATTAGGCATTGTTCCTATTTCTATTTGAAAAGCATACGACGGCGGCGTCTTGCGAACTAGAGATGGCAGCGTATCGTCCTGTGCGGAGAGTCAGGTGGTCTAGATAGGTTTACTGTGACTGAGCAGAAGAAGTAAAGCGAGCGCGATCGAGCGAGGCGAGAGCGTGCAGCCTGGTGGCGTACCGCGCCGCGCGCCTGCGCCTTAAGGTGCGCCTGCAGGTGCAGGGGGGGGGTGGAAATAGCGGCAGGGGTCGCGGACGCAGCGGCCCTTGACGGCGTCCATGCACACCGTGACACAGCCGTCTTCGTGCGCGGCCACTGGCGGCGGCGGGTGCGCGAAGCGACACTCGGACTCTGCGCGCTTGCACGCGCCCCGCTGGAACTCTCGGCAGACCTGCACCCAACACCAGCCATGTCGCCGAATGACCTCCCACCCACCCTGGCTAACGCGCCTTTCTTCTACTCTATCTTCTATGTATCTACTTTTTCACTCTAATACTATTCCATCGACTTAACCTCAATTTTTTATCTACGAATTTATGAAAACTTTTCTAATCTCGACCGGACGCCGCTTTGATATCGACTAAAGTGTTTTAAACGAAACGATCAACGCATCCGTCGCATCAAAATATTTATTACCTACAATTCTTACAGTTTTAAACAAACTTTCAAATTTTAAAAATCTTGAATCTTGCATATGTCATAATTTATTTTAAACAATGGAATTTTTATAATGAATAAAACAGCCTAAATCATTCAGATTACAAATTCATAATTGTTTAAGTCTCGCCACCAGAAGACCTTTCACCGCAGTGGAATGAAGCGAGTGAGGCTCGCGAAGCCATCGGGACGTAGCACCCGCGCAGACACCGCGACAAAGGGGAGGGAGGGCTCCACAGCCTTGCGGGTGAGACCGACCGCATTATATATATATATTTAATTTCGTATTAATAAAAAAAATATAATGGCAGTCGGTCTCCAGAAAGTGGCAACACCGGGAAGCGCTACTAAGGGAAGTTAACAATAAGTACAATCAGTCATCTTACCTCGAGACGATCAGTGCGGGGAAGCTTCTGCTGCAGCACAGGTTGCTGCATGACGCCAAGTGGGGAGCCGGCTGCAGAAGGGTCATGACCCAGCATGGCCGGAACCAGCTGCGGTGTGTAATACTGCGCATACGTCGAACCAACTCCTGGCACGCCTGACAGGTATGGCGACGTGGCCTGCCATATCACATGTCATTCGTCAGAATATGGCCAAAGTTCCATATCACGTTTATACAAAAGCACCAACAATAAGTCTGATTAATATCTCAATTATTTTGCAGATTAAGCACAGCATGCAATTACGAAATATGTAGATTAATAGTTAAGCTTACAAATTGTTTAAGCTACCCACCGGCCACCGACAGATGTGTGTGTATGGTGGTAGGAGATAAAGGAATATATAAAATGTAGAATTAAAAAGTCATAGTGCTTTACTATATAAAAATGAAAAGAGAATAAAGGCGTAAGAGTTCGTACTTTTTATCAATAATAGACGGAGGAGTAGGTTTAGGTTTCAACAAAGGTATTTCATTCTTCAAAATATCTACGAATTAAGAGTATTTATATGTTAGGAACGGTGACGGGTTTCAGAAAGGGCGGGGAGCGTAGCGGTGTGCCGGTGCGGGCGTTACCTGCGGGGCCAGCAGAGCCAGGCTGAGCGGGTCGAGCGCGGCGAGGTGGGTCGCGGCCGCGCCGGCTCCGCTCACGCCGCCCACCTCGACACAAAACCACACAACTCGCTACTTATCGTGCGGGACAACCTCTTCTCCTTCGAAATCGCTCCACGCACTACATCTCACTCTAAAAGCTCAGCTCGACGCTGACAAGCTGCTTAAGAGGAACGCGTGCGCGGAGTGACCCCGAGGAGATCGGGCATTTTGTTAGCAAGTGAAAAGTGAGGGTATGTTCCAGTGATTATCAGCATTAACGCCTTAACCCAACTCGTGAGTAATCCAAAAGTCATGCCTCTTAGGATAAATTATACAAACATGCTCAAGCTGTGAGGAGCGACCGGCCGCCGCCACGTGGTAACTTGCGTCCCTGCCTTTGCTAACTTTGACTCACCTACGCTGTATGTTTTGGCTATGTTGGCACAGTAAGTTTGGTGGTACTAATAGATACGTCAATAATTAATTACGTAACATCTAAGAAATGGACTATAGTCTTAAATACTCTACCTACTTAGGACAGGATAAGAAAATCATTACCAAATACAAAGTTTCCTAATTTCCAATATACATTGGCATGGGACGCAACTTAAGCACGACGCCATTCTACGTGGTTTATATCAGTCAAAGGAATGCTCGAAGTATAATAGCCAGTTACATCGAAAGCTGCATTTTGCGTGCACTTCCTATCTACCTTGAGGGCCGGTCGCTCAGCATTGTGGTAAAATCATAGAGATCGTACTCACCACGGTTGGGACCTGGCCAGGAAGCACCTGGCCAGGCGTCAGACCCATCTGTTGCATTAAGGCGTTCTTAAGTGCTAAGTGATTCCGCCCGTTGATAAGTAGCTGGTCCTTGAGGTGCTGGGGCGGGTGAAAGTACTTGCAGGGAGGCTTCTCACGGTTACATCGACCCTGGAATTCATATTAATACAAATTAATTTATGCATAACAATCCTTTCATATTGTCAATCGTTTTTCTAGCGCACTTCTATTTTTATTTATTTGATAAATATTAACGTACTTCAATTAAATAAAAAAATTGCGGCTCCACTTATTTATACAAAACTACAATTACTACAATAACAAAATATATAATTTGACATTCGTAAATGTAAAAGTAATATGTCGTACACAGATACGATCAAGAAGTAACTACTTTACAATGTACAAGTATGCAAGAACGAGGTGAATTGTGATACAAGGCTTAAAACCCCCAAGAAATTTATGATATTCTGATCAAGGTTGACGGAGGCAATAAAAATGGTTATGAGGTGCTGCTCATTCTTCTTAATTTCGGCGCCAATGAGGCCTGGGATAATTGCCTTTCAAAAGAAACTCTGCAAAAGCCGGCTATGATGATTTATTTACATTCGCGTAATGAAGTGTCGTACAACGTGACAAGACGCCCATTTTATCGCGAACTACCACGCTTTATCGCATTTAATTTGGCTTTGTAGAAAAAGGTTCTATATTTTTGAATAACTAAATATAAAAAAATATTTACCCGTTCTAAAAATAATCTTTAAGTTGTACTCCACATGTACCTACTTAATTTCGGTACATATACAATAAAGAATAAAAGAAAGTAAAGTAACTAAAAAAAGAATATTAATGCAGATAAATTGTAGTTTCCTTTTTAACTGGTACAATGTTTTGGCATTTAAAAGAACCGGACAGATAATCTTGTGTATGTAATTGACCTTTGTAATACTATTTAAGCATGGAAACTTTGAAAATAACAAAGTTTAGTCAATCTCGCTTCAACTTTAATTTGAATTGTTTCAATTATTATAATTATTTATAATGGCTAAACTTCAAGAAAACTTTTGATTGTGATTTAGATATGTACCTCTTTAAAATTAGATTTTTCTCACCTGCTCCCATTTTGAATCCTACAACATTGTTTATAACTGTGTCCTGTATTATTTCTATCGACCGGAATTGCCCAGCGTTTAACTTGCTCTAAATAGAAAGCGAACGTGAATCTCTTCGGTTTTGTATGATGCAATTTTAATATGTCATATATTCTAAGTTTTGTATATTTTTACTTGTAAGTCAATTATTAATAAAAAATGTATACAGTAGAAAAGGATGCCCCTTTTTCATACTTAGTTGCGGACAGATGATATTTTACAGGTTATATCGCAGGTGTGATTAGCGAACGTAACAGGGTACAACAAATGGCCACATCACAGCAGACGGATGGCTTCGCTCGCGGCCCATTGCACATATTACGATGCATTAATTGCTGATCTATTGACGCGTGTGGGTGTATTTGATTGATGATGTTAAAATTTGAAAATTAAAGCAAGAAATATCTAAATCAATCAAAATGGAAAGCATTAGTAATCTTAGACCGTATCACTATAATTATCACATAGTTTTTATTTACCATAAGGTACCTATGTGATGTTGTTGGGTTGAATAAATAAAGTCATTAATTTCGGGTACTGTTTTAGCCTAAAGCAGTAAGGTATTTTTTCCAGATCAGTGCTTTAGTAGAAATGGTGTCATAACTGAATTAGTTTTGGACTGAACTTGTAAATTTATGAACAAGTTAAATCTAAGAACATTAACTTATTGTTTTGAACTATTGTGAGTAACATCCTTATGTTTTGTTTTGTTATTAACAATTGTTCAATGATGACTCGAAGATTTTGTTTCGAAGTACTCGTATACTCGGAAAACACTTACATGTCGTGTATATACAAGGTATTATTATCTATAAGTACGTTATTTTAAAAATTATAGGTTTCTACTTATTACAGTATACTTATAATTATACTGTTCTTAATTTCATTAATTTTCTTTAGGAGATGATAACCTCTTACGCATGCTTTGTGGTGACATTAGGGCAAGTTAGATTAAAACAAAAGTAGTTAAGTTAAGATGACTCCAATTTTTTTATTAAGTTTCATTTTATAAACTTGTCATTTAACGTTTATGCTTAATCTCTCTTCTTGGTTATTACTTTAGACTAATACCAAAAACTGCTAAACAAATTTAGTAATCTAATAAATGTTTACCTGAGTGAATACTGTTACACAATTTGTTTGGGGTAGTGTTTTAACATAATCAAAATAACTGGCGAATTTACTTTTAGGTTTAAATTGGATACAAGGGGCAACCTTATGAATGTTAGGAGGGCGACCGCTAGGGGGGCAATAACCGCCCAAACTAATAACATTTTTGTGATAGTGGGGCAAACTGACCGTTTCCCTTGCACTGTCCGTTATACACACATAACAATAAGTGTTTTCATATAACGCACTTCCAGGGTTATTACCGTTTATATTTTAATCTAATATTAGAATTTCAATTTTGATAATTCGCGTGATTATAATCACGATGATAATGGCTCTAGACAACGTACAATATAATTTTTAAATAATCAATATTGTTTTATTTGTCCGACTCGTAAAAGATAAGCGGAAATTAAGTGAATAAAACTTAGAATCAGCTTAGAAACTTCTAGTTAAAGTCACTTAAAATACCATAAGCCATTCGTAGCAGACAAGATACGCAGCCACGTAGTTATGTACCTCGTAATTCTAGTCAGAATTAAAAGAAATGAGAAACTAAGGGTCCTTAATAAATGTAATAAAAGAAAATTCAAATTTCACTGCGACCACGAAAATATTTACTGAATTTGTTAGGGATAGCACAAATGCTACTTATAGTTGGCTAGGGCTCTTCAAGTCTGTAACGCCTGTAACGAACGCGTTCTTAAGTGCGAGTTGTTACAGTAGGTTGTCTGTATACAGTAAAATGCACCCTACTCACTGCACGCCGTTTCCGCTCCTAGTCACGCCCGATCTGCTGCCATCTACACGTACTGCCTTTGTTTATGACCACTTAAGCGTTTATTTCATAACTGAGAAAAAAGTAGAAGCTTTACTGCGATGAGTTTTTACTTTCTTCACTAATCCGTAAATTAACGTCTCCTCATCTCGCTCCTGATAATTACACCCATCGCATTGTTTAAATAAACAATGAGTTACAATTAAACCAAGCCCATTCATTATTTGCGTCGGTGTGTAGCGCACACCACTGTATAATTGAGGTCGGAGTGCCAAACGGCAGGCCCAAATGTTTCTCAGACAAATCGATTGATCGATCGGGATCGATGAGTTGGCAGGTATGTACGCACGTGCTACGATTGGCCGGACACGCGCCACTCGCAAACCGAGGACAACAATGAGCTTACAATACATGAATGACACGCTATATCCTAAGCCCACTTATACGAACGTAAGTGCTTGCCAAAAATGCTCATGATGTCAAACGGGGACGCAAATAGCGACCGCCCGTGGAACGTGCCAACTACTGACCGGTGAACCTGTGAGGTGCATTAGGGACGTTTGTGTGCGTGGGCATCCGTGGAACGTAGCCACATTTTATTTATGCAGATAGTAATGTAAGATATTTATTAGCGTGTGGGATATGATGTATCACTTCAGAAGTTTGACAATAAAATTATTCAAATTAACTCTCGGGTCAATCCGAGACGCTACAAATAATTCTTTGACAGCCGAATCGGGAGAAAGGTGAAATCTAATTTAGAAAAATTTTGCCAGTGCGAAAGGAATTAGGTGAGCAAAAACGATTCTGAAGTAAGTAGAATTTGAATTTAAAATGATTTATAGAGGCGCAGGGAGAGGCTAATGAGCCGCCGCCGACACGCGAGGGGCCCTTGTTTACGTGGCTCGTGCCGCGTGGTATATGCAGAATGTTTTACGTCTCAAAGTTCATATATTACGTTGTCACCATCCGTACTCTTTGAAACGTTAAACAAAATGTGTTGTGAAATTTTTTCAATAAATAATATTTCTTTCTTTCTCAAAAACAACAAAGCAGAGTTTAAAATTAAGAATTATGCACTCTGTAAAACTTCCCAACAAGTTGCATCGCGGCGCTGCGTCGTAGCTTAACGATAAAATATGCATTCGCGCGGAGTTATCTCGGCCACTTGCCGTTGCCCCCGGCGGTCAGCCCTTGTTTATATACTTTTATATGAGTTTAAAACGCTAATGTTCATTTTATACAAATTTTCTCACCTAAAATATAATTTGAGCATCGGTATGGGAAAGGTTCTCTACGTAATTTATCTCGTCTAGCGTTTAACTAGGGATGCATCCGATACTCTAATAGAAATATCGTCGATACCGATACCAACGCCTATTAAATTGAAATTAAATTAAGGTAAATATCAAGTTTGGTTAAAGTTTTCAATTTTTATTGTAAAATATAAACAGTCACAAATTCTGAATAAGATTAAAGGTTTGGTTAGTTATATTAAGAATTAAGATTAATAATTAAATTAAAATAAATTACTGTTAATAATTAAAAATAGCATTGATAATTAATCTGTTTTTGTAATTCTGTATGGCGAGAAAAACGAACTGCACTCTTTTGGCAATGTAGGCCATGGTGTCCAACGCTACTTACTTCAAAACCACAGGGACACTTATGGGGAGTACATATGGGCACTCTATTCTGTATTTTATTTAATTTGGTATTGAAAAAAACTACGCGCGATAGGATGCATCCGTACGTTTAACCTACATTTCGATATAAACATTTCAGTTTACAGTTTATAGGTTTTTATAAATACCCGAGGACATCTCACATGATGAAGACATTTGTACATAGGACAAACAAATTGTAATAGTAGGCCGCCAGTAATGAAGCGTTGCGGAAAGCCGCAGGGGCGAAATTAATGCAACGGAAGCGGCACCTTCTCCAGGTGTTTTGCTAAATAGCCCGGCTCACCCGGTTTGCCCGGCTCGCCGTTATGAACGCTGTAAGCTCGAGGGCCATTCGCTTTAAGAACGCCCGCGCCACTTTGTAACGACCTTAATGAATCTTGTTACTTATAGGCTCGCGTAAATTGCCCGTTTTACTAACGTGAAGAGGCGAAGGAAAAACATTGGGCTACGATAATAAACGAACAATAAGCTCGTGTTTTTACGAGTAGTTTGATTTTACAACTAGTAGTTTACACTCTTTATAACGTCATGTTTACAACGAAAAAACTCTCTATAACGTAAAAAAAGTATAATTTGGTTGGTTTAACACAATAACCATACATTCATTTACTCTTTATAACGCAACATCCACTGTTTATTACGAAGAAATATTTTCATATTTAGACATCAACAACATACTTAAGTGTAATTGTTTTTGTAATCAGATTACTACAACAAATTATTGAAGTGCCTAAATTTCTAAAAAGGCATCTGAGGTCATAACAGCCGTCTCGCCTTTGTTATTGTTTATTGCATTAACACGTGTGCCATTATTCTTAGATTACATTGCCTGTAGAAAATGTTGGTCTCAGTTAATAAACGCACCATGGTCACGTATCTATTATAAATAAACCAAAAAAAAAAAAAAAAAAAAAAAAAAAAAAAAAAAAAAAAAAAAAAAAAAAAAAAAAAAAAAAAAAAAAAAAAAAAAAAAAAAAAAAAAAAAAAAAAAAAAAAAAAAAAGGGGGGGGGAAAAAAAAAAAAAAAAAAAAAAAAAAAAAAAAAAAAAAAAAAAAAAAAAACAAAAAGGGGGGGGGCCCCCCCGGGGGGCCTCCCCCCCCCCCCCGGAAAAAATTTCCCAAATTTAAAAAAAAAAAAAAATTTCCCCCCACCACCCCTTGGCCGGTCTCTAGTTATATAAATTATTGTAATTAGTTAAATTTAGTGTTTTTACTCTTCTCTCCCTATAACGAAAACTACTACATTGAAAGATAACATAAATTACGAAAGGATCATATAATTCTGAAAGCAGTTTTAATGTAAATGTTGATGTTTTAGCTAAGCAGCCTGTTTACGGTAAACATTGAACGTACGCCACATGTATCCGAGTGGAAAATTCAACTATGTGCATGTGATGTTACTAGAGCCCCGGGTCGCCTACGCCCAATCAGTTAAAGCGAGCTGATGCAGTCATTAGTGTAGGCAAACGGAACAGCGGCTTACGTCACACACTCAGACATACTTCGCTTTCCTAAATCACTGGTTCATATGACACACTTGCATTATTTAACTCCGAGCCAGTGTAAGACCGTTTTGGTTCTATATAACAATAGTACGAGGCTAACAAAGATTCCAAATGGAACGGTTCTTTATTATCTTCATTTAAAGAGTTCGTTCAACTACTGAGATATGCAGACTCGTTTATTAATTAACATTCATCTGTGAATTAGCCACAGAATTTCAGTGCATTTTGTATAATTTTTGAATGCAATTGCCATCTGCATAATTAATTAATCTCTTAAGTATTCACAAGACTGCGATCGTGTCGAAGCTTGCACGACAAGATAAAAGGAGAAAACTGAGCGGTAGTCTAACTACAAAATAAAGAGCCTTTAGTAGGTACGATAAGGGAAGTTTAAAGGGAGTTTCGGGGCACGGGTCGGACCGATAAATTGGGCGGCACTTAATTATGATCTCGGGCGGCATCTTGCAAGCGGCTAATGTCCCGGACTCGTTTAATGCGCGAACTTGTAGTCTCAGCTCCGGCGGGCGCGATAAATTTCCATCTGTGCCCCTCGCCCCGCACCCAGGGGTGCTCCCCTGCACGGCATACGTCGTCTAATTTGTTCACCTTAACTTCGCACTACCCGCCTTTACCAGCTTCTAGTTTAAATTGCTAACAGTTACTTACGAGTTTGGACTTTGGGAAACAATACGTACCGTTAAGTAAAGTAAACACTTCGGTAAAGTTTGAATTTCAAGAGCACGTCATCTTTGCTTTTAGAAAATATATGTGTTCTGTTTGGAAAAATAAAAGTCAGTAAAGTTGTGAGCTCTAAGCGTAGTTTAGGCTTATCGCGTCGAGAGCTGAATAAACGAATCCCAGCTAGAGCTGGAGCTGTACTTAAGTCGACGCAGCACGCGGGTCGTTCCCACGCTACATCGTATTCCACTCACTAAAATCCGACAACTCAGTAAACATTCTCACATAAATCAATTTTCTTAGTAGACAACAGTCATTAACTCTGATTGATTTATGATTCACAAAAGTCAGAATAGATTTAGCTGCGTGCTAAACAGCTATAAATAATTTTTTACAGGAATTTTCCAATTATATCACTTGTACAAAGTGTATTCTACAAGTATTTTATTAAAATAAATTCGCCTTTTCTTCAGCCGTCACGTTTCGCAGACAGTGGTTAGGCTGTGAGCGCATTGCTGTGGTTTTCATGTGAATGTACTGAACAATTATGTACGTTCTACTTATTGAATATTTATTGCAATAACCTTAAATCAGGAGCAACACGTCGCGCATTAAGCGATAAAGCTAATATTATAGAGCATTATAGCAGGCCAGTACATTAGGAGGTGTCGGAGTGCTATTGCGTCGTGTTAGGTTAATGTGGGGCGTCGAGGGGCGCTGTGGGGCGCCGGTGGGGCGCCTTGCCTCGATATCCTCGTAATTACAGCCAAGACGCTGTCGAGACGTAACGTCGCACTAACGACTTTTATGGCGAATGTAACATTGCTGGAACATAAAATAAATGCGCCGCCTAGGCGACGATACAATATTCTCCAAATGCCTTTAAATATTTGCTAATTCGAATGCTATTTTTCAAAATTCACTAAAACAAACAGCTTTTAGGAGTACCTTTTCATGGAAAGAAGTGAACAAGTTCCTGTCACATTTGTGACACTACGAATAATATGCGGGTGTTGGGCTTTCGATTTAAAATTAAAAAATAAAAATAAATCAGTCTGGGCCTCACATTTCTGTATCTGTTTCATGATCATTTGGTTATCTAATAGGCAAGTTGGTGATCAGCCTCCAGTGCCTGACACGCCGTCGACGTTTTCGGTCTAAGGCAGTCCGGTTTCCTCACGATGTTTTCCTTCACCGTTCGAGCGAATGTTATTTGCGCACATAGAAAGTCCTACGATCTCAGGGATGAGAGTCGCACGCTGAAACCACTAGGCCAACAATGCTCTAAATTCACGTTTTCAACATTATCCGACGTAATACTTTTTCTAGGAAAGTATAACGAACTGTTAATTAAAATGAAATAGGATCGATTCTGAGACTTGGTAAAACAAAGACCAATGTTTGCTCTGTATTTGGATTATATAACTTCGTATGTAACATAAAACCTTATGAGGCGATAAATATCTGGAATACTGTTGTTTCTTGGAGTTTGTTTACTGAAATATTTCAGAATAAAAATGCTTGCTAATCCTTCTTACATAACCCACTCATAAGATATGTTACGGGGAGAATTTCAAGTTGACCGATGAAATTACTTTACTACTACAACTTTTGTTTAAACGCAGAAATCCAATAATAATATCCCGTAGTATAATTACACCGTCTAACAAAAATAATAGTCATAGATATATACCTCTCCCTTTATACACCTTTTGTTCTTTACGTAACGAACTGTGTCCTACAATATCGGCCTCGGACCGTCATTTAAATCTTTATTTCACATTAGCTTTATGTGCCCCAGGGAGGTTAGCGTAGTGCACTTTTATTGCGGATGAAATGCCGTAATTGCCTCTCGGTGCCGGCCCGTGACTGACGAGCTTCGTACGTGCTAATTGTCCATCTTAAACCTTCGCGAAATATACGTGTCATCTAACGTGCGAATACTAAGTTACATTCGACTTGTAGGCCGGTTTTCAAGTAATAAAGTTTAAAATTATTTCAGACGCACTATTAGATTTTATACAAAATATTCGTTGTAAAATTCTAGCATAATTTCAAATCTCAAAGAAGAATATTTTTTTTAAATACAGTATCCGAGAACGGTATGATGTAACGACCTCTTGGCTTACCAAAAATGGCATAATATAATAAGAAAGTATTCAAAACAATAAGAGCTTTTCATAACTCAATCCCCTAACAGCGGTAATCTTGACAAATGAGGGTCTTTCGAGTGTAGACACTATGGGCTGCATTGACAAAAAACCCGAATAAACATGTGGATATATAAATGAGCATACTTTTATTGAGTGGAGGAAATGTAAAGGAAATCGTTTCCCGCGTCATTACGAGACGCATCAATCAAAGGAAGACCTGTCGGCAATACATGCCTATACGCGACCACTCGCACGCTGCTTATTTAAATTGTGTCCCACCAAGTAACGTGTCACAATATAACTTCTGCTTCATTATTTAATCGTTTTATAACCAATGTTTAAACGACGAAGACGAGTCGAGTCTTCTATGATAATTTAAATGTTTGACACATTGAATAAACAACATCGTGTATACTAATGTGACTTTGTCTTAGACACAATTTAAACAAAACATAAACTGCATGAAACATAGATTAAATATCCATAAAATATAGCATTACTGGGTAGTGTTTTGGCAAGAATGAGCCTAGATTTTTATGAACTGCTAGGGGTTAGTTGCGATATCTGCAATCTACATTGTGTTCCGGCGCCGTCGCGTCTAGCGGCCGTGGCGGCGGTGCATTTGTTAGACACGCCATGACATCACGCTTTTCCAAACCCCCTTACCCACACCCCAACTATCACCAAGTTGTGACTAATTGAGATTTTAGCCTACTTTCATACACTGAAAGAACTGGAACATTACACTCAGTAAGCGGATACAGCGGTCACATAGAGGATTTATACTAGCGAGAATCGCAGACGCTTCACGGCCAGAGCAATTAGGCACTAAAGCATTCGACACGTCCACCTTGTGCAACGCCCTATTATCCTATGCAAATCCGGATTAATTCCCCAAGTTAGCGTTGCCGCGGGCTACCTGCTATCGCGACCATTAATAACATGCCGCTACAAACAACTCGCTTCACAGCGTTACCTTACTACGGGCCGTTATACTGCTCCAACCTCTGTACATTATGCAAAATTGACGTGATAAAGCGCTATATCAAATACTTAAGCGAATATTTCACTGAGCGAACATGGCGTCTTCAATATTTATTATAATAAACAAACATTTATGTACGCTAACTCGACGCGAGTTTGGGAAATTATTTAAACATTACCGTATTTATTATATCAACAAACGTGAGAATATATATGAAACAGTATGTATGAACATTAAATTATGTAACGTAAACGTAAAGTTTTATAATAATTTTTCCTAAAATAAAATTTACGATAAAAAATCGTTTAATTTAAAAAAATATTAGCTGTTATTTCTTGCTTCGTAACACAGAAAAGAGCGTTAAATTAGAGAAATGATAATTCGATTAGAGAGAATGAAGTACAACGGTGTTTATCGAATTAATCTCGTAAAACAGGTTAGTTGAATAAAATGAATAGAACATTGCGAGGTCAAAGGTTCGGGTCAGGTCGGGTTCAAAAAAAAATACCTTCGATAAGGACGCATTAAGGCTGAACCATAAAAAAAATTATATAGTATAACCTGTAAAAAGTGCGGGTATCTAGCTGTCACACCCTTTTTATATTTATTTGTAATTTGTTGTCAGTTAACTTAGCCCATCTTTATTATACCACACTTTCGGTACGATGTACTGTAGCCGTATGACTCATATCATCTATGGCAAAATTTTGGTGATAAAACGGTGCAATGGTACTAATGAAAATGAGGAAATGCAATTACAACACAGAGAAATGTATTATAAGGGTAAGCACTTACGCACGGGTTAGTTGGAGGGGTGGGGCTCGTGTTTGGGGACTGAATGCGGTAGAATGAGACTGGGTGTCTTAACGCCAACTTTAATGGTTTAAGGCGTGTTAATTTTAAGTCAGGAAAAAGGCTAATGGTTCATAAACTTTGTTTACCTAAACTAGCAGTTCTTTTCACTCGGTAAATATTTAATTTAAAAAAAATAAAACGGGATCAACTTAACATTTCTTAATATTATTGATAGGGTTCTTATAATTTATAATAAGATATAAATTATAAAAAAAACCTTTTATAAAAATGTATACTATGAATGAAGTGTTGAATATATTTAAATAAATTGTTGTATCCGATACAACAATTTATTGAAATTTTTAAAAATTAACTGGTGACACGAAATTAAAAATATGAAATATCATTAAGAAAATGATCTAAAATGAAATAAAATAATTAAATCATGATTTGGTTGGACCATCTTAAAAACATTTATATAAGGGAATAATGAAAATCTTACCAACAGAAATATTTGATACTCTAAACAAAGGGAATAATTCCCATTTCACTAATACACTTTACGTGTCCGTCCACTAAGACGGCTCGATCGGGAATGGTCTAGCTCGATGGCCACCTACTTTTTCAATTTAATTAAATAAGGCTTCAGATTAACTTTGTGCGGCTTCACGCAGTGTACTGTTTCATTTTTCTTCACCACATCAACATAAATATAATGTACGACTACAATAAGCCACCACAAATGTAAAACATTTTTTTTACTTCTATCATACCTGTACGATGGAGACATTGTAACTTGAGAAATTTTACCTGAAACAGAAACAATACAATTAGATTCTCAATATACTTTGAGCAAGTCAATTTGAGACAAACAATGTATCGACAACAATGTAGCGGGAGTGACGAATCAAAGTTATTGTGGTGTTGTCTTGAGTTGACTCTCACGATAATGAGTTTCATGAAGGAAGCAACCGGAACTAAGGGGGCGATTGTTTCTAATGATAAATACTGGCCGCACATCTGAAAGTCGGCACTAATTGAATAACAGCGGAGAAAATTAAATTGATTGTTTCAATGTACCTCTTTGTTTCGAGGCTTTCAACGATTTATTTACCTTCAAAAAATATTTGATTGTTGCCGCACGCTACTCGCTTTCATTGAAAATTTCTCAGTCACACTTTATTTTTCGGGTGAAGTATAAGGCGCGCGTCCGCACTGACAATCAAGAATGGACTGAGGAAAGTATTGTTTGACACTTGACATTTGACACCTAAGCGGGAAGCCTGACAGTGCATTCTGAGACGATCGCTCTAGCCCATAAACAATATTGACCGATAAGATTATGAGCCCTAATTAATTAAAAATGGTAATTTAGTTAATATTATGATAAATGAGCGTTGCGTGACATAGCGGATATGAGGTCAGAGGAAGCAAGTTTGACGAGAAGCGAACGCTTATACGCAACATTAATGTAAAAGTGTATTTTGACAAATTTAATGAATAAATAAAAGCTTTAACATTTTAATACCTTCAATATCTATTAAATCTACAATCCATTTGAGAACAAAAACAGGAACAGGCAAAGATTACGTGGAATTAGGCAAATTAATCGTAAGTGAAAAGCGGATAGGAGCAAAAACTTAAATGCGTGCCTGAAAAGCCGTCGGTGCGAAAATGTGGCATTAGGCGCGGTATCTGATCCGGGTAACTCGTTTCAGGAGCGTGAATTATTTACGCCGAGCCGAATTCGGGGTCAAAAGATTTTAGAAATGCTATTTTTACAACAATTCAAGGAATTATTTATATGCATTATACTTTAGGTTTTAGAAAAAAAAATAGATTTTTTTTAAATACAAGCAATAGAAATAAAAAAAAAATATGCGTCAATTGGGTAGTTGAAGTTTAATAATATTTATGGAGTTTACGAGATAGTCTATAAATCCCAATTAGACGTTATTGTAATTACAATCTCAAGGTAAAAGGATTTGGAAACAATAAGGTGAAGTATGGGGAACTTGGGTACAATAAACGTGGGGTTTATCTCATTGGGGTCGGACAAAAACGATCCGCTGTCCGTTACGGTTTTGGCTGCAATTAAACACGAAAACGGTCGCTCATTGGAAAAGCGCTGAACAAGTGTACAGTTGTATCTATCTAATTACTTTGTGCCTCCGCGTCCCCGTGTGACGTCACTGCCCAAGTTGTTTGCGGTTTTTGCAAACGTTTTCCGGCTACTTCACCCAATCGAATGGTTCGAGTGTGTTCTGTTGTTTCGCCAATTTATCGAAGCTATTCTGTTCATTCTGGTTCATTGTTACACTAAATTTGAATCGCGCCTCGAAGGAAAGTTTTATTAGATTTGTTCATTTACGTTTCTCCTTTGTTTAGTGTTGTTGAACATGTTTTAGTTTATATACTGTGTACAATAATTAAGTATACGAGTGTAGACTAAAGCATAAGACAGAGATTGATGATTTTCTTTTAATTTAAAACGCAATGAGGTGATGAAGGTAATTTGACTTCGGTATAAACAAATTTGTTAATATATAAATAATATTTTGCGGAAATCAAGATAAACGCTTAGGTAACCGTCTACGAGCCTTGAGAGATAGAATCAAAGGTAAGCATTACATAAGGGATAATGGCTCTCAGAAGAAAATTACTTTGGTGTTCTTTTCGGTCATTAAACGGAGTCGGGGGCGGAGCTAAATACAATCGGAATCAAATTAAGTTCATTCAGTTGCGGTGAAGGCTGAGGCGGGTTAAGTCGAGTCAGCAGGATGGCGGACACGTGCGCCTTCCCCCTCGCTCGCAATAAGAATAAGAAATGAGCCGATAAATTCTATACGGGGCTGCTTCATAAGTCATAACTAGAAATTTACTACTCTGTATTGCACGCTTATGAATATATTACAACAACGGCACAGTTATTCCGCTGCTTTTAAAGATATTCCTTATTCTGACGGGGCATTAAATTTGTATTCTACTTCATATAACCGAGTTTCGATTGAGAATTAAATGGTTCACAACAAGATTAACTGTTTATAGGAATGATTATTTGCGAATTAAAATCCCGTGAGATCACGAGTAAATAGAGAACGTTCATTAAGCGATGCTAGGCGACAATCACCCGAATACCTCCCCACTCCACGGCGACAAATGAACCCGAAGTACGATCATTCCACTTCATGTGTACTCTAGCGAACTTATTGCCGGCCGACGACAGCGCATTAAAATGCAAAACGAAATTCGAACATTAATTGGATTCTAAAAGTAAAACAACGACAAACGCATTTATCGAATATTGTTTTTAATTTCAAAATTATGATAATTACTGAGTTAATGAGCTCAATACTCTAGAGTTTCAGAATAGAATAACTTTACAGAAATAGACATTCGAATTAATTGAAATATTGCGTCTCGCCGTAGCGGGGTTGTGCGGTGTCGAACTGGGGATTAAAGTTTGAGTGGGTTTGGCAGAGGTAGGTGGGAGGTAATACGCCATTAGCTTTTTCCAAGCGTTGAAAAATTATGGTAAAACTATTTCCGTTTGTAGCGACAGTGCGTAGCTAAACTATGTACATATACACATGTCTACGCGTACCCGGTCTACGTTTTCGTAGCCGCGTAGTCGGTTGACAGTTGCATACTGACTAAATCAAGGATCGCGTTACGGGAAACCGTTTTAAAATTCATGTTTACAACTATGCTATGGTTTATGCAATATTTCTCATAAAAAGTTAGTTTCGTCTTGACACGTTACTTACGTTATAATGGTCTATCAATTTTAAGCTTCAGAATGTTTTTGAACAGTGAATAGTGATAATCCAGTTCCATAGCTAAGCTTAATAAAGGTCCGCGCCAAGGGCCCGAGAGGCCGACCTTAATAAACAAAGTTTATGAACAATAACATTTATTACATAGTTGTGTATTAATGCGCTCTCCATTTACAACTAGGCGGGCGCCGAGGTGGCGCTGCATTGTCGGCCGCAAACATCTTGTGAGCCGGATAACTCACCCCAACGAAATGAATTGCATAAACCAAACTACGCCATTATGCGTACAACGTTGTCGAAATATTATGATCTATAAGATACGTAGAGCATATTATATTTACCAAGAGCGCTACAACCTTTTGGATCTGGGTGAGACCCAGATTTCTGTATCTGTTCTTTGATCATTTCTAATAGGCAAGTAGATGATTAACTTTTTGCACCTGACACGAGTGTTATATGCGCACAGAGACAGAAAGTCCATTGGTGCACAGCCGGGGATGGAAACTACAACACCAGGGATGAGTGTCGCACGTTGAAACCACTAGGCCGACACTGCGTATAGAATATTAATATTTAAAATTTCACTAATATTATTTTGATGAAAAGCTTTTAAGAATCTTTAAACCCACTTGTCATTTGCCAAAATCAACATTTTAATATTGCATAGCATTAAAATTTAATAATATAAGTTTCAAAACGAGTGGACAGTATCGGGACTCGGTGTCTGGCCCCAGAAATGGAATAAAATTTTATATGTGCACATTATCCGTGACAAACGATGCGAACGATGCGATTTCTTCGATACTGAGAATCTGTTGTAGTGACTTTTATAACTAATGCGTGCTTTGTTTCCGTAGAATTAGTTTATAATAATTCATTTAAGATATTACTAGCAAAATCTTAGGCATCTTTTATGCTATCATTTGAGATATGGCAATAAAAATATAGCATATTAAATTCTTCATTTTCCATTTTTGAATCGCATTTATCTTAAATAAACATGAACGTATCTAAGATATATAGGCACAGAATCAGTATTTTATTTAGAAATTATACACAGAACTTAGTTAATTTCAATAATGAACAAAAAGTTGACATTATAATCGCACTATGATATGGGTATAACTTGTATGTTAAAATAGGATTAAATTTGATATAGGTTTAATTTTCTATAATTTAAACTAAACGATTCATTTGACAACCATAGGATAAAGATAGACAACATATGTGACAGCACTTTCTTTATCTCTGTTACCTTAAATTTAATATAGGGAAATATATAAAGAAATAATTATATTACTTAAATTAGATTTTTCTTAGATTATTAATTATCTGTTTTATGAAAGAGACACTAGTTCTGTTTGTCTATGTATGTGAGTCATTTAAATTTGAATTCGAAATTTTTTTATAATTTAAGATCATAAAAGAAATAGGATGAAAGTGATTTTCAAGTTAAATAACAAACACTAAATGTTGTTTCTTAAAATACAAAATTTTTGCAACACATTTGATTTACATTCATGATATATTTATACACCTTTCTGCTTTCAAAGTTGTCATTTAATATGACAAAATCGATCTAAATAGGCTATTTCGTAAGCAACTTCCGGGCAATATTTATTAAGTCGATATACATGATTTTCCTAAAAACCTTTTATTATTATTTATATGGAATCATTAAACTGCATGCATCACTGCGTCACATCAAGCATGAACGAAATAAATTGTACCTTTAACAGAGTTTTCTACGCCTTTCTTGCATCAAAAAAAACCAATGACTGTGGAAAAAAGCTGCTGCAATAAACGTTATGCAAAATTGACAATTAAATGCCATTGCAAGATTGGTAATGTGTTATCGAGATTGTCAGTGCTCGTTTGGGTATCTAAGTGGCGCCGTTAGCGGGCATCGTTACTTGGGGCGCGATAAGGCAACGACAAGACATTCAAGTGGACAACTATAGCCCTAAATATTTACTTATCAATACAGTTTTAAAGTGATTAATTCAACAATCTATTGCTAACGATTCTGTTATTATAGGACGGTTAAAACTACTTAAATAGCAAGGAAATTAGTAAGAATCTCATTCACTAAAGCAAGCAACCAAGTCGTATTAAGTGTCGCTACGATCTTTGGGTTGTAAACGTGGTCCTTACGATGCTTTTCTTCAGAGTATGAGCATAGTAATCCAATATCCGAGACAGATACGCAAGAAAAATGGCACGAAGGATTTTCAAAACCCCTTTTACGTCATCTGCAGAGCGTATGTACTTTATTTCGACATGGAAGCTCAAAGCTATCATTAGATATACATCAGCGTATGTAGATCGTATAAGTAAACAAGCTTTTTATTCTCATAATACGTGAACGAAGTCGCGAGATATAGGGTAATAAATTTGATATATAAGCGTATATAGGCCTGTGGACGATAACGAGATTGAAGCTACATCGAACTTTTCATGAAAATCTCGAAAACTTTGGAACTTATTAAAACAGATTCCTCTCATGTAAAATATACGGAAAGCTTCCAGAAATAACCAATTATTATAAATAAGGGACGATTCTGAGGACGGCTGATATATTTTTATGAGCGACACCTATACTAATGTAAAATTTGTGTATTGCGTTTTTAATTCTTTGCCAACAGTGTTCTACATTTGAAATGGTGATGTTAATAAAAAATGTTCTTTTATGCCACAGATTACACGTATAATAACTCACGGAGACTGTTTTTAAACGGTACAAAAATAGCTTTTCGTTGGTCCACGTCAGCAAACCGCGCCATAAAATTTATAGGATTACGTAGTTCAAACCGATGTCGCTGCACTGTGCACTCCAGCAATATGCAACATTTTCAAATTTCAATAAAACGATCCAATTTATTACCTCTGATATGTTATTCCAAGAAAATTGCTGATATCAGGAGATTTATTATAAACGCGGACATTTCTATACGACACATATTTTATAAACATTTTTATATGTAACCAATATACGTCAATAAAATAACGAAAACGGAGACACAATTCAAGATGTTAAAACAACTTTTAAAGTCAATTCAATCGAAAAGATAAACACGACAGCCGTCGATTCAAAATTTACATATGAATAGAGATACGAAGTATATTTTTCGAAAATAAAAGGACAATTGAATTGAACCTATGTTAAGATTGATTTTAAAGAAAAGTTTAAAGCTTTCGGAGAGAGTGGAAATTCAATGAAAGTAATGCTTTTAAGTCTATTCGGGGCAGGGGTCACTTGCGAACTCCAGGTACGGGTGGATGTTTTATTCAGACGAGAATCGCACGAGCGCCGGCGCCGGTCCAACTTCTCGAACCAGACAACGCGACCTATTAAAATTTCATCCCTCTTTGTTCGGAAACAGAGATATTCGATCCGTGTATGCTGCTAATACTCCAGCCGCCGCGGCCGCGATCTAAATTGAATTTCCATCGATTGGTTGCAAAAAGTAATGAATTCCAAAATGGCACAATTGTATTTTTTCTGCCATTTTCGGCGATAGTGGAAATGAGATTTTAAATTTTATAACTCTAATGAAAATCACTGCTAAAACACAAACGGTAAGTTTACAACTTTATTAACTTCCCGGATAAAAGGGGTTGCAACTTAAAGCTTAAAGTGTTTGCAATTTAAAAGAAATCTAAACAAAGAAGTGACGCGTGGCCGGTACAGACTTCACTCTCTAGTCTCTGCCAATTAAAGAGATCGAGCCCAGCAGCGATCGTGAACAACAAAAAGAACTTTCGAAAGTGCATCCGTCTCTTAAAACTTATCTCGGCGCAGCTGTTTCCCACGTCGTATTTTATTTCGCACTCTTAGTAAATCCTAAACTATTTGAATATTGTACGAAAGCGTCTTTAGGATTTAACTTACGTATTTTAAACGGAAAGACGACAGAGGAGGCCATTTGTTTAGGTATTACAGTATCGGTTGCGGTCGCTCCGAGGCGGTTGTGTCTTTTTGTATCTTGTCTGTCAACGGCCTCCACGCTTCTACTCGAAATTGAGAAAAATGTAGAGTCATTTGTATCCAATATTCCCACAGCTTCGGAGCGACGAGCCGTACGTTCTGTACACATGGCTACGGTTCGCTGCACGGTAGTTTGGCGAGGGAATACGGGCTGAATATGGAATCTTCGTGGCGCTATTGTTCAACTTGCCCTACACTGTACAATGATGCGGTTAATTTGGAGAAATAAATCAGGCTCGCTTTATATTCCCGTCACAGCCGACAGAGCAGCCTCGGAAGCTATTACAGTAGCCGTAATGAGATTTAGAGCGTTCATATAAAGTTATTTATGTGGAGAACAGAACTCCTGCGAGACGGGAACTAATTACGATATCAGCGAAGTGAAACGGAAAGATCATAGTGTTATTAAATTGGCGGTTGTAATGAAAAGGCTGAACTTTGGAATATTTTGTTTGGTGTAAACAATGGTTATTTTTATGCGAGATGTAGGAGCTATCGATCACACAGGGGTCTGAATTGATCGCTCCTTTGTTCGTGGCGAGATTAATCATACATCTCAATGTATGACGGCACTGATAGATATTCAATAGTGTGTATGGACCGGGAACTTGGGCCAATATCTACACTTGCACTACTGCGTGTGAGACATTATTAGATACGATTTTAAGAATCTTATCGAATACCTTGAATTTAACTAATGTGAAATAAAATTCATTCTCAGAAATAGGGTCAAAAAAATTAATACCACAATGAAATTAAATAGATGTCATATGTATGCGATGTTAAACCTATACTTTGACACATGTCACAATCCGAGAACAGATTTAATCCTTTCGGCGTGTCCACGGACGGCGCCGCTCAGTAACCCGATAGCACAAACAAACGCGCCTCGCGATGTCAATTAAGCTAATTAAACACAGCGGGGAGCAGGCATTCTGCCCACACTGCCCACTGCCCCCTCGCATCCCTTCACTGATACGTCATAGTAACAACAAAAGCCACTTCTGTCAGAATGAAATTCATACAAGCGGTAACCACGGCTCAAAATTCGTAATATATTGCTTAGTATTGTGGATTTCACGAGTTATTTCTGTCTCGTTTACCCAATTAATAAGATGTTTTTAGTCAAAAGTCGCAACCACGTACTGTTGACTCGGCTTCGATTAACAGTTTGCACCGTCAAAATATGCAAACAATGAGAGATCCTCCGCGTTAGTGTAAGTAATTACTCGCCGATGAAATTATGGAAATGAGCGGTGAAAAGACAAATAATAGAATGAGTGCTAACAAGAGATAAGACACGGCTTAATTAATAAAGTTTGCGAGCTTTCTCGAGGCGCCGTTCGGAAGACGCCCGCGATTCAGGAACCGGATCGTATAATCGCATTCGGTTAATTGAGCGTTTGATTGGCGCTATCGGGATATGGGGTTAGGTGCACTGCTTGCTGTCTATCCTATCTCTATAAAGGCTTCAATTTAACCCACTGCTATCAACATATTCAGCTGGCCTGTTGCATTAAGCGTTAAAGATTAACCGATTTAAACGAACGATCAGAATTCAGTGTTAGGTAAATATGTATTTGATTGCAATGTCTGCGATCTTTGTATTAGGACGTATGGTATTTGAAATATATTTTTAATCGATATTTTTTTAAATAAACTTTATTTAAATGACATATTGAAGCCAGAGGTTAAGGTTCTACCTCATCATTTCGAGACATCGAAGACAGTGTTCAAATAATGTTATGGAAAAAACACAAAGGGTTGTTGGAGTGCGGCGAATTTGGGAAAGTTTTAACGAGTGGGGTGACCACCCACTGGGGGAAAGAGTGTGTCACGCGAACGTCCATCAATGTACTTTCAACTGTCATCGTCCGAGCGATAGTGCTGAATACTACATTTCTATATTTGAACAAGAATAATTATTTTATATGTTGTTACTTCATAATAGTTATATACGCATAACTACTCAGCATTTGAACAAAAAGTTTTAAGGGAAAATAACAACTAATTTTATATGGGAATTTAATTAGTTGTCATGTAAAAAAAAATCTGTACTATTACAATACAGCGCCACAAATTTTAATGGCAATGTGTCAAAGGCCGGCTCTAAATATATATATGTTCAAATAAAAAAAAACGAAAGCAGAATAAAGAAATGCAACCACAACGGATTTTTTATAATTGTCATTGGTTAAATCTTTATTTACAGAATTTTAAAGGTACAGTAAAATCCTTTATTTGCAATTGGATTAATATTAGTGAATCATAAGTAATACCATTTTCCAATACCAGGGACTTCTTCAGAAACTTTTCGAAGTAATTAACGTAAGACAAAAGTACAATTAAAGTAATTAATTGAGTGTTAATTGTTTGACTGATGAATGAATAATAAATTACACAGAGCGTGTAATGTCTGTCCTCTATGTGAACAGGACTTCACACTTACACTAATTGGAGCATTTTATATATGTATGTTGTGGTACGTGCAACAAATTCCGTACTGTTATTTATAATCTGTAATTAGTGTAGCCAGTTTGAATTGTAATATATCTGTTATGTTTTAGTATCCTGTATAAAGCGGTAGTAAACACCGCGTGAGTTCTTTAAAACAATCGGCGTGCTAATATATATGTATGTATATAATAATAGTAATAGGCGGCGTAATAATTTGCTTATACCCATAACTAATTTTCATGTATGATTAATAAGTTTAGTTTGTTTTTAGTTCTTTCTTTTAACTATATGTATTATGAATTTTTGCACTTATTGCTTACCTTATCTAATTTAATACATTTTTTTTTCTCACAGTGGTTGCTCGAAAGCGATAAGGACGCCAGTTGCCCGCCTTTTCATTCAATTATTTTTCGACATTATATTTGTTTTCAAAATTTTAAATAACTTGGTAGATTTACCTAATGTTTTAAGTCAAGTTAACTTCCTCTTAAAGAGGAACACAAGAAAAACTTCAATCCTTTTTTACGTTCGGGCAGTGAGGACCAACGTCGGTTGTAATGCTCCTCTACACAGATCTCTATCGACATTAAACGACGCTCTGAGTACATGCCAAGCAGATCCATTTAGTGACAGTCTCCATGTCTTCAGGCGTAAGATGCTGCAGCCAATGTTGATCCGTGACCAATAGTGATAATTGCAAAGTTGAAAATTATTGTTTTTTATTTATATGTATTTGTAAATTGCATGTTTGTATTTTTTTTTAATCTAGTTTGTTTTTTACTTTTAATGTTGAAGTTATTTTCTCTTCATCATTGTAATGTTTCCCTATAAATGTTGTGCACACTTGTTATTGATGCACATGCATGTATCTTGTTTTCTATGTTATGTGTTCTCTGTAAGTGTTTGTATGTGTTTCGTTAGTGTGCCTTTTAAAATAAAATAAAATAAAAATTATTTTTATATTGTAATGCAAAAAAGTGTTAATAAATAAATATATATTTTTTAATTGAACTAAGTTAATTTTCTCGTATTCTCTGAGATACGTAAGATACATAAATCTGTAAATAAGACACTGTCAGCGTTCTTTTTAAATTGGTCATTCAAACCGTTAAAATGAATGTAATTATTAAATAAATAAATCTCCTTTTTGATGCTCATGAAGATTCAAGGACCAAGAACATAATATAAAAATGAATGACTGATTATTTTCCTGTATACATATATTTAATTAAATAATTTGTAACAATAAGTGTAATGCGCTAGAAATATTATATTATATAAATATATATAGAAATATATATTCCAAGCCGCACGTAAATAAATACACGGGTCTGGCTTTCTTGGTCTAAATAATGTATTTATTAATACCTCATAAGAACATTCTCACAAATACCATTATTTGTTGGTTTTATAATTTATATACTTAAGTTTCACCTTCGAAAACATTTCGCTTTATATAATTATGTATCTCAATATTTCGCGAAATATCTAATTTCGCTTCCAAGTATTAACTACCATTGTTTCCATTGTGATAAGTTAAAATATTCATAATGTTGTCATGTATGCATAATTGCATAGAGAACTTTTACCATATTTTGCATTTATAAACGCCGCAGTATCCCATTTCACGAATGAGCAAGTATACACGAAGTATTAACTTTAATGCACATTGACGTAATATATTTCGCGCGAGAGTTAAACAAATACGGAACTATGAGTCTTGCGAAATAGCTCCACGAATATATTTTTATTTTTATATTCATACAATGTGTTGTGATCACATTTCTTTGATATTGTAGAACGTCATAAATTAGCGGTGTTAACGACTTACCAAATTTCTCAATACTTTTGTATAATGGCCTCTTAATAAAAGATCAACGAAGTCTGCGAAGACGAAATCGTGTGCAGAACTTATTAAATACTTTTAATAAAAGGATTATATACTTTAAGGGTTATTTACGACATCCAATCGTACTAAAAGTAGATAAAAGCCGGGGCTTATTAAAGAAGTCCTGTCAGGGGGCGTCGGGGTGACTGAGTACATTATAAAAAGTATATTTACACTCGACCTCACGCGGCGGACGGAGAAAACTTTCGTTTCGGGCGTTTTATGTGCGGAAAAATTGAGAAAAGTTGGAGCGTAACGGCCGGTGGCGGGGCAGGGCAGACTCCGGCGACGTCGAGTTTAATATAATATGTAAATCGAACGACATCGCGACCTCACACTGCCGTAGTCTACCTCACACGGGCCGTAAATCATTGCGTATAAGACGAGGCAAGTTTTACGCCAGGGCGGCTCGGTTACAGGCCTATGAATGCAAATGAGTGACTCGGCCCGAGGACGGTTTATCGCCGAACATTTACATAAAACCCTAGGATGCCGGCGAAGGCAGTTACCACCTCGACCTATCATAGGCAACGTAAAGTAATTACCTGAAACAGCGAAACATTCAACAAATTAGATTCAGTAGACCCTTTAATATGTTGATATCTTTATCCCCGTCAGGTAAAATTAATTCTGGAGTATGCGCAGCGAATTCCAGTAAATAAGTGGTTCATTTGTAAAATAAGTACTTTATTATGATTATAATCATATCTAAAATGTTAGATTTAAATATGATTCATTAAGTTTTCGAGTAAGCAAGTTGTGAT